CCAACTGGCTAAGCAGCAGCTCTGCAGAAAAGGACCTGAGGGTTACAGTGGAAAATAAGATGAATAGGAGCCAACAGTGTGCCCTTGTTGCCAAAGCTAACAGCATACTCAGCTGCAGTGGTAGGAGTATTGCCAGCAGATGGAGGGAAGTGACTGATTATTCCCCTCCATTTAGCACTGGTAAGGCCACATCTGGAGCACTGTGTCCAGTTTTGGGGCCCCCACTACAGAAAGGATGTGGACAAATTGGAGAGACCCCAGCGGAGGGCAACAAAAAAGGTGAGGGGACTGGGGCACTGACTTATGAGGAGATGCTGAGGGAACTGGTCTTAGTTAGTCTGTAGAAGAGAAGACTGAGAGGGGATTTAACAGCAACCTTCAGCTACCTGAAGGGGGGTTCCAAAGAGGATGGAGCGAGACTGTTCTCAGTGGTGGCAGATGACAGAACAAGGAGCAATGGTCTGTTTGCAGGAAGGCAAGTTTAAGTTAGATGGTAGGAAAAACTTCCTCACCAGGAGGGTAGCAAAGCGCTGGAACTGGTTACCCAGAGAAGTTGTGGAATCTCCATCCTTGGAGGTTTCAAAACCTGGCTAAACAAAGCCTTGACTGGGATGATCTAGTTGGGGATGGTCCTGCTTCAGGAGGCGGTTGGACTAGATGATCTCCTGAGGTCCCTCCCAACTGTAATTTTCTATGATTCTATGACTGTATAAGGCAAGACCCAGGAGGTAATTCTTCCACACTGCTGGATGCTGGAGAGACTTCAGTTGCATTATTGAGCCCAGTTTTGAGCAATGGACTTTGAGAAAGGTAAACAAACAGATTTATGAGGAAAGATTGAAAGGACTGGACTCCTTTAGTCTAGAAAAGAGAAAGCTTGGAAGACAGAATAATAGGTTTTAAGTACCTAAAAACCTGTTATAAACAAGAGGATGGTGATAATTTGTTCTTACTGTCCGTTGGGGGAAGGATAACAAGAAAACAGCTTAAACTTTAGCAATGAAGATTTAGGTTGTATATTAGGAAAAAACTGTGAGTGTCAAGAGACGCTGGAACCAGCAAGCCAGGAAGGTTGTGGGAGGGTTTTAAGACCAAGATAGAGACATCTGTGAAGAATGGTCTATTTCCTGGCTCACAGCAGGGGGAGGGACTACATGACCCTTGAGGACTCTGCATTTCTATGGGCACAGCTGGGTCCCATTTCCATTGATATAGGGAGGAAGGAATTTGCACATGAAGTAGAAAGACAGCAAACAGTTAACAATACAAGGTTTTCAGGCTTTCCTTGCCTGCACTACAAATAACACCATACAGGAGGCCTCTACCCCCTTTCCTCAGCATGGTACTAATGTAGTTCCAACTACGATCAACACCATGATCAGGTGGTTTTTATGTACCTGACAGAAGAGATACCCTTCTTTTGGCCTTGAATGACGTGGTGTAGTCCTGTCCAATGCATTGCAGGCAGGCACCCCTGCTAGAGTCTATAAATGCCTCAGCTACACTCTTTATGGTGATGGGGGATTGCTCTCGGCTTTCCCTCTAGCTTGTTCCTTCAGCCTTTTGGCTAGGGGCAAGTAAAACCAGGGCTATCTTAACTCCAAGGCCTCCAGGCTTGGGGCTTACATATAGGATGCCAGATCTGGGAGTATCTGAAGCCCCAGGCTGAAGAGTCTGAGAGGTAGGATACTTGCTGGTGGTAGTGCCACCCACACTTGAACGATTGAGCTCTGCTCAGTCTATATAATTTGGAACTGATTTGACCTGAAAGATGACATTTTTTAAAAACATGGAGGTTTGAAACACAGGGATGTCTAACACTGCCCAGGGCAGGTCTAGGCAACAGGATGGTGGAAATGCTAGCAATGGGAAGTGTCCTGTCTGCATTAAAGTGCCTGCCCGCCAGTTCCTATGCAGCAGGACTGGAACTAGTGACTGCTCCTCCATAGCTGCAAGCTGTGGCTAAGGCATGCTCTTGGGACATTACATTATACAACTAAGTTTTAGCCTGGTCCGGATCATGATTTTAACAGGGGCTCTATGTGCCCCCTCTCTCCCCAGAGGATAGGGACAAGAAGCACAAGCAAACACCCCTGCCATATTGGCCAAACTTGGTCATGGCTGAGGTATGGAAGGTGCTGAATTTTATTTCCCAGTTGATGTGGCCTTGTATAGGTGTTGCTGGGGACCACAAACCGGGAAAGCTGTTCACTAGGAAAATCAATGACACATGAGGATGCCTCCATCCTCTCAGCAAAAGCTAATCTTTCTCCTACTGTACTCTGCAGGCTAACCTTCAGTACACACTGTTGGGCAAAACAATAGGGCTCTGTTTAACCAGGATGAACTGATGTTTGCTTGCTCCCTACAGAAACTCAGCTGCCCAGCAAAAGCATTGAGAGAGTCTGGGCTTGCATGTTCCCCATGACATGCAAGGCCCAGACAATCAAAGCCGGTATTCAAACAGCCCCTGGGACTGAAGCAGAGGCCAGAGCTTTTTCAGGGCAGGTGCTGCTAAAAAGCTGGTTCTGGAAATGGCACCCATAGCCACTGCAGTTTTAGGGCTTATCTACTGCCATGAGAGTTCAGAGCACACAGGACCTTACACCATGCTTCTTTGCTTGGCCCTGGACCAATGCAGCTTTAGCTTCAGGTCTGAGCTATCTGGCCAAGGAGAGGGGTTTGTTGCAACTCCTGCATTCAGAGATCAAGATCCTTTACCGAAGGAGTTTATTTTGCTCCAATTCAAGCTGAGCATTACAAATTCAACCAGAACTGCATGCCGGAAATGTCCATGGACTTCAGTAAGCGATTTAGGAAGTGCCCAACCCTTCACTATTTCCAGAGGCAGGAAATGTGACCTGATAGCCCAAGGGCAAGTGTGTAATACAGCATCCGATAGAAAGGAATGCAGACTGGGCTCCCTTTCCTCCCCACACATCATGGGAATCCCCATGGGATGGCATCTGAACCCCATGCTAATAAAACCACAACAGAAATTTGGTTCCACAGAAGAGGACTTGGTTCCACACAACAGAACTTGAGTCAGACACCTCCCTGTCCTCTGCCTTCCGACTCCATGGAAATTGTGCTGTGCTTAGATTTTTCCACCTCTCCATCTTGCACTCACTTGAATTCTCTGAATACTCAGTGCCCCGGAAGTGCATTCCTGCTCACACCCCGAGGACCTTCTCCAGCCATTTCTGCTCCTAGCCACACAGTCTGGACTGCTCCTCGACCTACATGTTGATATCAAGAGCATCACAACCCAGGCAATGTCTTGGAGAAATTGTCTTTTCCTTCAGGCAGTTGTCAGTGCTCTCCCAGCTACTCCAAAGAAGCAAGATAACGATCATGATTCAACCACAGAACTCAGATTCCACCAAATTTCAAAGCTGCAAAAGAAGAACAGCACTCTGCCCACCGGAGACAGGAGTCATAGGCCTGGGGAATCACAACCTGGCCCCTGAATGTCCATTCCTTCCCCATCACCCGCACAGATCTCCTTAGTTTTCCAATACCCTGTGTCAGATTAATCCTCACACTGATGGCAGAAAACAAAGGCTAGAACAAAAAGGTTGGGAAAAAATTCTATTGTGCCTGTGCTGAGGCTGTATTACGGCCAAGAAAACCTTCCCATCAGCCTCCCTGGGCATTTCCAAAGCAGATATTCAGGATCTATCCAGGGTGACCAACCACAGCGTCAACCACCTGTGCCTGCAGAACTGCTTGCGGCTCTGTCCCGTGCCCCTCCCCGCCCCGGTTGGTCAGCACCTACCCCAGCCCCATTCCCTCCCTCACTGCAGGGGCCATGATCTGCACCCCCACACCCCTTCCACGACACCAGACTTAAAAGCTGAAGAGCTGTGCATTGGAAATCGGATCGGTATCAGCCAATATGTCTCCTTAAAAGCTGGCTATCGGTATCAGCCCCAAAAATGGCTATTGGTGCACCCTTAGTAGAAGTCATATATACCCATTCTCATTGGCCTGAACCCCTTTGCAGCACTTGATACTGCTGACAGTGAAACGATGCTGCTTCACCTTGCAGTCCAAGTTCATCCTGGTGGGATGCATCTAACATATAACAGAAAACTGCACCTCTGCCACAAGATGCCCCATTTGTGAAATCCCACAGGGATCAATTCTCTCTGTGGTTCTTTTCAACATCTCCATTCACCTGCCAGGTGAACAGGTTGAGCAATATGGATTCCAGTGCTAGCCATGATCTCTACCTCTCTTTCCCCATGTTTGATGACACACTATCCAAGTGCCAGGCCGTTTTGGTAATAAGACCAACTTGTAAGTTTAGAAAACTTTGTAGGGCTGAACCAGAGCAAGACAGAGGGAGTGCTAGCGGGCAGGGGGCAACACTCGGAAGAGTCTGCAACCCCAGTGCTGTTTCCTTTGGCTGAAGGCACGTACCCAACACAGCAGACACTCCAAGATCCAGGTATGCATTTGGACCCCTCACCTCAGAGCCCTCACACAGAGTGGCTGGGACTTGTACCAGCTTCCAGTCCTGACCCATCTACCAGTGGTTCTGCGCACTCTCCCGCAGCGCAAGCTGACCCTGGCATCAGGGAACTCAGAATTCTGTTCAGAAGCCTCCTTGAGGGAGATCCTTTGAACATCCCCTTCATAGACCAGCTCAATCCAGCTGCCAGACAAAATGCAAATAGGGACTGGGAGACAGAATGATCTAGTGGTTTGAGGTGGGACATGGGATCGGGACTCCCGAGTTCTCTCTTGTCTAGGCAAGTTGACCTTTCCCCCTTCTTGTGTCTGCATTTGCACAAATGTCTGATGGCAAGATCCCCCACTCCAAGTGCAGCCTAGATTTCAGGTGCTAAAATAGGTGCTAAAGTAAGTGTCAAGAGGTAGCTCAGGGAAGCCCCCAAACCACAGTGCACTTGGGATTCTCACTTGTGGGTATCACTGTATCTGCCAAGTCCTATCCTCCCTGTCCCAGCAGCTGAAGCCAAGTGGAGACAGCCTACCTGAAGGCCTTGTCCTGCGTTGAATTCACCCCAGCAAACGACTGGCTCCTATTGATCCTGGCGGCGAGGGCGCGACGTTGGGGTCGCACAGAGAGCGACATCGTCGAGTGTGACCTGGAGGGCCTCCCTGTAAGGGGAAGGAGACAGAGTATGGTAATAAGAGGCTGGAGCAGCCAAGGGTTGAAGGCAGCAAAAGCCAAGCTGGCACAGGAAGTGGGGAGGGAGCTCTGAGGCAGCTGCAGGGAACAAGAGTGCACCTGGTCAGCTCAGGTTCCAGCCCCTTCCAAGTGTGTCTCCTTCTCATCCATCTTCAAAGCTGTGAAGACAAATGCTTCCTCCTGAACAGCTAATGAGCTGCTCTGCAAAGGCAGAGGCTGGCCCATGAGCAGAGCAGGCAGGCTTGACCATTCACTCTCTGAGCAATGGGAACCAGCAGTCCTGGTCACAGCTGGGGATACTGCCATGGCAGGTTTCAGGGAAGAGCATGCATGTCCCATGGTTCTTCCCAGCCTTAGAGCTCTGGGAAGTGACTAAATTAGCACAGCTCACCCTGGAGATAGATGCCTGGCCCCCACCCACTACTACTCCCTGCTCCCCACTGAGCTGAGCTACTTCCAGGGTACAGGCTGCCCATGGAAACAGGCAGCGGGCTGCGTTCCAGGCAAACCACTTGATGCAGAGCATTGGCATTGGGGAGGGCAGCACCTCAGACAGTTCTGTGCCAAGGCTATGACCAAGGATGGGAAGCAATCCCATTGTCCAGTCCTGGTAAAGACAGGCAGTGGAAGCGGGGTAGAGCAGAGCAGAGCCCAAGGCTCCAGATAGCAGGAAACACTTGCCGCCCTGGATCCTGTGCAAGCCTTCCTGGAGCCTTGCTTCCCGTCAAGGAGCCAGCCTGTCCCAGAAGCAGCCCTGCCCTGCCCTGCCCTGCCCTGCCCTGCAGGGGTGGGGGTCTGAGCTAGGAGACAGCCAGCTTCATGGAATGGAAATAAAGCAACCCCCCTCCCCCCAACACACACACTCAAAACAGGCCCTGGCACTCTTAGCCCTTGACCACTGGTGCTCAGCTGCCCCAGTGCCCCTCAGTATCTTCCTGGCTCCTCCTGCACTAGGTTCCAGCCTCCTCTTCCACAGCTCCTCAGTCCTCCAGGCTACCCTCCTCCCCACTCCTGTGTTCCCATTACCCATCTGCTCAGCCATTTCCTTGTCTCCAGTCCACCTCCCACACTCCTCTTCAGCCACCCCCAAACCACAGCCCTGTGCTCTGCACCAGCAAGAGCTCCCCACATCCTCTCTGGGGTGGGGAACTTGACCTACTGAAGAGAAAGTATCAAGGAGATCCCTGAGATTTAAGAGTCACTATTCTTTCCTACTGAGGTGATCCCAAAAGCCCTGTGTATGTGATCCCCCTGCCTAGACTTGCCTGCCTGACAGAGCAAGCACACACGCTCCCAACATGAGATGCCCAACACTTAATTTATGAAACTGTGTGTGCAGTTTTGAGCTCAAGATTTCAGAAAGGATGTGGAGAAGTTTGGAGAGGGTCCAGAGGCAAGCAACATCAATAAAGGGCTTGGAAGGCAAATCATATGAGGAAAGGTTGAAGGAGCTAGGCATGCAGAAAACAGATTTAAAACACTTGAAGAGCTGCCATAAAGAGGGGGAAGACACCTTTCCTCTCTTGGTGCAAAGAGCAGAACACAAACTAATGGCTTGAAGTTGCAGCGAAGTAGGTTTAGACTGGTTATAAGGAAAAACTTTCACTGTTAGAACAGTGAAGCAGTGGAATAGATGGCCTAGGGAAGTTGTGGCAATACCATCACTGGAGGTGTTCAAGAAGGGGATGGATAAACAGTGATCAGGGATGATCTAGGAGTAGCTATGCCTATGTTCTGCCACGGGTATTTCCCATGCTTCTGGCCTTTTCTGGTTACCACCTGGGACCAGGAAGAAATTCTTTCCCCTTCTATTGCTATGTGTCAGGGTTATTTTTCCACCTTCCTTTGGATAGGGATGACCCTGCCGCAGGCAGAGGGCTGGACTAGGTGACCTCCAGAGGCCCCTTCCAGCCCTACTTTTCTATGATTCTATGACTTGTGATCCTGGCTGGAGAGAAGCAACTGGCTGGTAACCCTTCACTGGATAGGTGTAGCATGCTACCAGCCTTTGCTCAAAAAGCTTCCACCTCAGAGGCAGGTATAGGGCAGTGGTGCTGCTGCAGACTGCAGGGCACGTCATCTAGTCCAGAGCAGCTGAGCATGACTTGGGATGCAGGGCATGGGGAGTGGCTTGTGGACACAGGAGTATTTGGAAGGTGCTTTGCCTCTAGCCCAGGCAGCAAGAGGCCTCAGGAGAGCACCGAGGACGCATGCATAGTCCAGGCCAGCCTATGCCAAGCCTGTCAGAGAGAGCTGCAGGGGAGTAGAAGAGGCAGGGGCATCATTCCCAAGTACCAGCCCTCTGTGACTTGTAAAGGTTCCTTCCTTTTCCTTTGGCTGCCAGGATGGAAACCTGCAAACAACAGAGCCTACTGGAAAGTCCCCAGCTTCCTTGGCCCAGGGCAGAAGAATCCCCAAAATCCCCTTGCTGGAAACTCCACACTTGGAGCAGGAAAGGCAGTGCTTCCAGAGACTCCCTGATGGGAGCTAATGGAGAGGCTGAGCCCCTGACTGGAGAGAACTGATTCACCAGGAAGGTACCCAGAATCTCAGCAAGGAGCTGCTGATTCTGGACAGAGCCACATTCACAGAAAGGGCGTCCCTTGGGAAGAGACAGCTACTAGCAGCCTGGGAGTTTGGGCCTTCAAGGCTCTGCTCACAGCTCTACCCCAGCAACACATTAAGCACATTATCTTGTCTCTCTCTGGGACTCAGTTTCCCCATCTGTAAAGTTGGGAAATGCAGACCCACCTGCTGAAGTGTGTGAAGCATTGAGAAAGTCCCGTGCTCTGTAGTCCTCCTGCTCTCCCTCCCTATGTTACCCTTTCTGCTGCTTCTCTCACTGCAAGCCTTCCACAGCACACCACACTGAACACATACTCCTGCATGCAAGTGAGCACTCCCAGAGTCCCACTAGTGCAGCAAGGCACCAAAATGCAAGGGGCCATGCTCTTGCTTTGCCAAGCACGTAGAGCTGACTCGCCAGTTACACAGCCCAATGCCTGCCTGGCTGCATGGCACAGGTGCTAGGGAGCAGGGTGAGACATGGGCAGGATGTGGGCAGAAAGCGTGTTACTCTGAGCCGCCAAGGCAGGAATAGACCCATAGCCCCCTAATTCACCAATCCTGCATGGCACTGGGAGGCCTCTGAACCCAGCACCCTAAAGGGCACTTGAATGAATACAGCCATCCTCTGGTAACTCTAGAGGCATCTGTAAATCCCTGAGACTGGAGACCCTCCACACTGCTCACCTGAGGCATGGCACAGACCACTCAGCCATGGCCAAGGCAGCCCACTAAATGCAACATCAAGACAAATGAGGCTGGCAGTAGAGGTGACCAGCCCCACGTTGCAGGTGAGGCAGCCAGCTGTATTTCATTGCCATGTAGGATGAAGAGCCCTTTGGGGCCCCACCTGCCTGCCAGTTGTCCTGAAGAGGGTTGGGCTGTTAACACCGTTTCATAGGACATGATTCTCCCCTCTGTGCTGGAGCTGGGCACCAATGGCAGAAGACAGCTAAGAATGAAAGGCAGAGGCAGGGGAGCCAACAGACCACAACAGCCAGTCTCTAGTGCCCTCCGGCAATGGTGTATAGGGGTTAGGCAGGGAATGTCACACTCCCATCTTGGGGCAGCTTTGAGCTCCCAAGTAACTAGGGAGCCTCTTCACCCAAGAGGAGTGCATGCCCTGCCTGAGAGGCCCCAGGTCTGGAGCTTGCTGCTGGTATCCCCAGGCTTCCTGGGATCTCCCACAAGACCCCACATGGGCCTCTCCCTTTCATTTTTCACACCCACAAATAGGCAGAGAAGTCAGAGCCCCAGACCAGGTGCTGTGTGATAATAAGGGCTTCACTGCCCATCACCCAGAGCCAGAGACTCAAGTGCTCCACATGATTCTACAAAGAAGGCTCAACTACCAGATCCTAGGGCCACTGCTAGAGGATTCCTCATGAAAAGGAGGAATAGATGGGGGCCTGCTTTACATGAGCTACAGGGTCCCCTCAGGGCACAGCTGCCTCATAGATGATCTGGGTCAAGGATGTTAGCACCAGAGGCCGAGGGGGACTTTCCCCAGCTAGTGTGGGATACTGTACCCCAAACAGGGGCACTGGAGCTACAAAAGGCATTTGGGTTAAAATCAACACCAAGCACCTGTTAGGTGCCCTGCTGAGGGGGAGCAGAAGAGGTCCCCACCTGCAGTATGGAAGCACAGGGCTCAACTTGAGAGTCCAAACAGGACCTCCAATCCTGTAGACCCATGCATCTCTTCCCCTGACTCCAGAAACTGGCTCCCAGTCTCCATGCCCAAGTCCCCCCACTCTTTTGCAGCCTAGGATACCCATGAAGTACAGTGGTCTCCCACAGGAGGCCTCAAAAGAAGCTCTGCCCACCAGGTCAGGTTCCAGGGCCCACATGGAGCCTTAGGAGAAGTGGAAGGCTTGCCTCTACACTCACACCCACAGGAGGGAAAGCCCAAGGAACAAAGTCCCACCCGTGGCAGGGCAGGAAGAACACTCAAAGACTGGCCTACTAGGCAGTCCACTTCCTCCACAGCCTCTGGGGGAGCCAGGAACAGAGGGGAGCTGGGACAGCACCATATATTTACCTTGCCAGAGTTCTTCCCTGCCAAGGAAAAGGCAGCAGTATCTGGAAAGCACCACAGTGACACGACAGGTCCACAGAATGTGACATGGGGAGGAAGGCAGTACCCTAAGGGCACTGTTAAGAAAGAAGGACCCAAGAGAGCTGGGTCCTTGGTACTGCTGGAACAGAGGCAATAGTCCTTGCTCCAGAAGCCACTAGTGCTAAACTTTTCCCCCTCCAGTAGCACCAAATATGACTAGATCCCAGCAGTGGGCTGGAGGGGCCAGGAAGGATGCCCTGGCAGAGCCCAAGTGGCTGCGGCCTGAACAATAATGCAGTCAGCCTGAAGCCAGACCTCCTCCAGGGGGAGGAGGAGCCCTGCCCCCTGACCTGACCCTATCACACTCTCAACCTCCTGGGGACAGTCCAAGACCCCTGGGGGTACAGTGAGCTTGCTCTGAGGGAGACAAAGCAAACAGGGCTGAGCAGAGAGGGGAGAGGATAACATGCTGAGGGGGCAGTGCTTCAGGCTTAGAACAAACCTGATACTCACTGAAGGGAGTGACAATGCTGCTCACCATCATGTGGGAGTGAAGGAGGTTCCCCCACACCCTGGACCCATGTCCAGCATGGCATGTCTCTTCTAGCCAAGGAGCTGCATGGAGCTCACCCTCTACATGGCCCATCACCATGGACAGGATGGTGATGCAGCACAATGTCCACATGGCAGGAAGAGTGCAACATGAACACAGCATTCAGGGCAACCCCATCAGTTACAAATTCACTGGCCGGGTGGCTGAGTTAAACCTCAAGAGGCCAGGATGCTTCCTTGCTGCTGCCTTGGACACCCCAGCACCCCAGGAAGCTTCCTTGCTGCTGCCTTGGACACCCCAACCAGCTGATTCCACCCACACTTCCAGGACCCCAGGGGTGTCCTCACACACCTCCTCCCCTCCCGCTTGCCTGCAGTGGAACACACCTGGTCAGCTGCCAGCTGGGTTCAGATGGTCCCCATGGACTGAGCCAGCACATGGCCATGTTGAGGTTCAGCTCTTTGCTCCACCAAGCACAGGATACTGGCACGTTCATCGCTGTTGCAGCCACAGCTGGCCTGCTACTGACCTTGGGGTGTGTGGCAAGCACTTCCATGAAGCACTAAAGGGTTAGTGCTGCCCAGACAAAACCCTGGAAAGCAGATCCAAGCATACAACTGGTGCAGCACAGGACCCCTCAACACCCCAGCACTCTTGCCCCAGGCTGCGGCCATTAAGGAAGCTGAATGGGACAGCCAGTCCAGCAGCCCAGACCCTAGCTCAGTGCCAGCCCTCTGGTTTCTAGGGCAACACTGTCCCAATTAAGCTCATTACAAAGAAGCTGTAATCCTAAACAGCCCAAATCACCCACAGGGCCTTGGGAGAAGAGATTACCCTCTCTGGAGCCATTTAATCGGCTCTCCACAGAGCCACGCAGCCCACCGGCTCAGGTACCAGCTGCCATAGGCCATTATTTGTAGCAGTGAATCTAAAGTTAAAGCAGGGCCACCATTCAGGGGGCCTGGGCAGGGCTGGCTTTTGTGCTGGAGCTAACTCCACCCATGCCCCTGAGCTGGCCAGAAGGAGGGTTGAGCATGGGGCAACACTAGCCCCAAAGGGCACCAGGGGTTTGGGTGTGGGGCAGGGTTGGCTTCTTCAGAACTGCCTTTTCCACCAAAGCTGGCCTCAGAAGAGCAGTGTGGCTCTCCCAGGCTAAGCACAACCCATAGGGCCTCCTGCGTGAGCACTAGCCTGACCACTCTGCCAAAGGTGCCATGGAAAGGGGAGTACAACTGCCCAGCAAGCCTATTGCCCAAACCCACCCATGGCCTTTGGGCTGGGGCAGCAGAGACCCAACATGCATACTGGGGTACAGCCTGCCCCCTCTTTGCTTGTCCAACATGAGCCCCCCAAACTAGAGCACCCCAACAAGCTCACCCATGGAAGAAGCCCAGCAAGGACTTTGTACCACTGATGATGGCTGCACTTGAAGGTCCCATATGTTCTGGGTGCTGTATGAACATACTAGGGCAGTCCCATGGAGCTGACAGGCTCTGCATAGGACCAGAAGCAGGAGGCAGATGCAGTGGGTTGCTGGGGGACAGGGAAGCAGAGCTGCCAGTGATGGATGTGATAAGGAGAAGCCACTGTGGACTGTGCACAGGCAGGACTGTGCTGCGACCAGCATAATGACAGCAGCTGCTAGTCCCCAACAATCAGACAGCTCCAAACTGGCTGTAGCTGGGATATGTTTTTGGCAGCCCAAAGTGTTAAGTTAGTCAGCGTCTTAGCAGGACAGTGCTCATCAGGTGCAAGAATAACTGTGCCCCTGCCTCTGCTGGCCAGAGCACGTGAGGGAGCACTGCATCTTTTCAGCACCAGGACACACCACCAAAGCTTCACTCTGCTGGAGCTTTGCCTTCCACCACAGAGGAGGGGCACTCCCACCGAGCTCTGCCAAGGATTTACCCGTGAGTTCATGGCAGAGATCCTAGCCCAAAACCAGGGCAGAAAGGGCTTGGGCAGCACCAGAAGCCCTTATGGCACAGGCAGCTGCAGGCCAGTCAAGATACCTGAGGGTCAGCAACGAGTTTCCATTTGCTGCCATACTACAGGGCACTCAGCACTGCCCCCCTCCATTCTGTGCCAGCTGCCCCCCACCGCCATCCCTCTCCCCCCCATGGTACTCTCTGCCCCACCCAGCAAGTGCAACAACGAGGTGTCACCTCAGAGATCTGCACTGGAGCTGTGGCCATTTTCTCCCAGTCTCTCTCCCTGGCCCCTGGAGCTGGCGCTCTCCCTAGAATCCCTGGCACCAAACATCCCGCTGCACTTTGCACCAGACTGTTCTCCACTGCCTGGCAGCCCTGCCCCAAGCAGGGGCCCAAAGGGAAGCCCCATTCTCCTGCTCCCAGGAGAAGGAAGAATCCAGATATTCTTCAGCAACCCCAACCGGATGGGGGAGGTGCTGAGGGTGGGAATTCAAACCTCCCTGTGAAGGCAGGGAATTGCTGGTTGAGATACTAAGCACCATGAACCCAAAGAGGGGGCTGTGTGTGTAGGCCCCCTCAGAGATAACCCCAGGCTCCCATAATCAAAGGGGGACCACTAGGGACTACAAGTCCCTCTTCCTGATCTCCCAAGCACAAAGCTTATCCTCAGGACAGCCACAGGTCCTGAAGGTCCTGAGCACTGGGCTGGGCACACAGGTCCTCTGACCCCCACCTACCTTCCCTGAATGAGCAGAGCCCAGGGCCCTCAGTGCAGCAAGTCCAAGGGATCCTCTGGCACCCACAAGTTGACCAGAGTACTACCTGCAGTCAGCACACACAGGAATCAGCAGCACAGGGCTGGAGGTTGCACCCCAAAGTCAGCGCACTCCAAAGGGGGTACCCCTTGTAACAGCACAGCAAGGCACGGCTCCAGGTGGATGCAGGCGTAATCCAGGGCTCAAGCACCAAGACACCCAGAGAACAGGGATCTCCCTGTGCCCTGTTCACTCCTCCAGGACTGGTCTCTGGCTCAGGAGGGTGGGAGAGGTCCAGCACTCACATTCCTGACATTACAGAGATAAGCACTGACTGGTACCGCAGTGGGGAGATGGGGGAGGGTGCGGGTAGTCACTAGGTGCTCCTGGCAGGGTGGACACAGCTGGTGGCACCCAAAAGCTCCCATGAGGCCTTGCCACAGCCAGGGAGGCACTGATCAAAGAAGCCTCTTCTTGCCCTGTCCTAGGCATAAGCACACTGAGACCCACAACCTCCAAGTCCTCCCAGACAGTCTAAGCAGAGAACAGAGCAGCAGCAGCAGGAGGGTGGTAACAGGACATGTGGCACAGGCTGGCCTTGGTGCTCATCCAGGATGCCAGCACTTTGAAAAGCTTCATGCCCTACACAGGGGTCAGCATCCCTCTTGGGGAGGCTGAAGCAGATTTGGGAGGTGGTCAGTGTGTCCTACTGGATACAGCAATAGGCTACAGAGACCCAAGTTAAATGCCCAGCTCTGCCTTAGGTCTGCAGGGTGACCCAATGCCTCAGCTTCCTCATCAGTGAAATGGAGATAATGCTACTGAACTCCTTGCAAAGTGGTTGGGGATATCTTCTGACAGAAAGCACCAGAAGAAGAACAATGTAAGACCTAGCAAAACAACCTAAGCTTTGGATTTTCCAGTTATCAACAGCTGACTGGGAAAGGCCAGACACCTGGCTCTGCCCATCAGACCCCTCTGTGAGGAGGTCAGGAGTTTAATAGGCAGAACCTCTCCACCCCAACCAGCGCTAGCAAGAACTGGAGGCTGATGGCATGCGTGACATCACACTTTTCATTTTTGCATCACCCACCTAAACACTGTCTGTGTTGCTCTGGCCCCCCAGCCCTCTGGGGGGCTGATCTACAGAAGGGGAAGCCAGGCCCAGTTTGCCTTGCTTTACAGTCACAGTAGTTCCACATTTTGGTTCCCAACAGGAGATTTGCAAGCATTCTTGCTATTGGCCCCAAGATGTCTCACATCATTACCTTTCTACCCTCTCCTTCCCCTAAATCAGTGGCCGCTTTTCCAAGCTACATGGAAAAGGCTTCAGCATGAGGAACAGAAACCAGGAGGCCCACTTCAGCCTCTTCCTGCCCCTCACTCTAACCACTAGACCACAGTCTCCCTGCCTGTTGGCTGTACAGCATCGAGGGCAAGAAATCAATGACCCCCATGTCCTCCAGTGATGCACCTGAGGCAGAGCCCCAGGGGCATGTACCCCCTTTACAAGCTCCTGCTGGACCCTCTGCACCCCCTGCCCCTGGGCTAAGGAACAATCGAAGGCCTCCCCCTTCCGAGTCCATCACTGTGAGCCTCCCCCACAGATGACAATGAGAGGAAGAATGTTGACTCTCAATTTATTTTTTGCACTGGGGCGGAGAGTGAAACCAGCTGGATTAGTCTCAACCAGTTTCTGCTTCAAGAGTCCCAGGCAGCTGCTGCTATGTTTGTCAACAGCACAGGGGACGACTCAGGAACCACAAGCAGCTTGAACCTTTGAACTAAGGCAAATCCTGCTTCTGAGAGACTTTTCTAAAAGCTTTGTGGGTAGGCCCAAGATCAGCACCACCAAACCACATTCAGGTTTAGCCCCCCATATAACCTCATCCATCCCAATTCATGCCCAGGGCCCTCCAATACTCCCACTGGGGAGGAGGTCAGAGTAGCAGCAGTAGGGGAGGGGATGTGGTCAAGAGCCCCACAAGGCTGACACTGGGGAAGGACTGGGGGGCAGCAGTGAAGGGCAGGTAGGGAAACCTGCCTTGCTGTTCCTTCAGGGCCTAGACAGCAGACATGCTCACACCACTGAAAAAAAATCACCATCACACCAGCATATGAAAGTAGCAGACAGAGGGACACAACCCCCTAAACTAGGGTAACTTTGTGTTGTGTCATCGCACAAAGCATCTGCCCACACATTCAACCTCTTCTCAGTTGCTGCTGACAACCCTCTAGCAGGGCCTAGAGAAAGCAGATTGTGAGCTCCCCCCAGCAGGCCACAAACATCCTGAATAAAGGAGTAGAGCTTGTCCTCACTGACAGAGCACCTGAGCTACAGCCCCATCAAGGATTCCTGCACTGGTGAATAAGTGCAACCTGTTGGGAGGAAGAATGCTGTGCTGGCACCCTGGACCTCTGTGCTCGACATTTGCTGCACCAGGCTCCTTTTGACGACCTTATGGAGACACTGTGCTCTTCCTGTCTCATCTTCTGCCTTCATCCCTCCTTATTCCAAGACAAATATTTGCAGGAAAAGAGTCCTTAAATCCTAGGCCCTAGGACTCTTGGCACCAGTGCTTTTGCACTGCCTGAGGCTTTGCATCCTTGTTTGTGTAGCTGCACTGATGTCAGCTGAGCCCACAGTTTAGGCATGGACATACACCCTAAGCCCCCTCCAGTCTCTGAGCAGCCCTGGGGAGAAAATATCCAGTAACCACTGCAAAGCGTGCAGGATGTTTGCTGGACTTGCCCAGGGGGCAGAGCTGATTTCGTTTTACTCCCCCTGTCTAGGCAGCTCAGGTCAAAATGGAGGAGCTGAGAACCCAGGGCTGCATAATCACAGGGGGCATGGCAGTGACCCATCCAGAGACCTCCTTCCCCTGTCCCAATACCCTGCATGGAAACTAGCTACCCCTCACTCTGCCACAAGCTGGGGGAAGGGGGAAAGCTTTGCTGAGTCACAGATGTCAGCAGTATCTCCAGCTAGTTGGGTTCACTCAGACCATGGGCTTCCTTTACCAGAGATTTAGGCAGGTGACTGGGTGGGGTGGTGGTGGTTTCTCAGCAGGTAGGGGGTGGAAAAGCATCAATGCATAGGGCTATCCCAGGGCCATAACTCTTGGGAACTGGCTTCACCTGTGCTCTCTCCCCCCAGAGAAAGCTCCTGGGCAAGGATTACATCTGTAATGCCTTTCTAAAGCAGCTGAGTGACATGCTTGCCCTCATCAAACCCACTGTACCCTGCCAGCTACTGGAAGCAACATCACAGGCACGTGCTTGTGACCTCAACACCACGGAAGTAATGACAGCACGGAAAGATCTTGCACCCTAGTGAGAGATGGTACAGACAGGGAGTCCTGAGAGTCCTCGATCCGAGAGGCAGGCAGAGGCCCTCACCCTTGTGAACCCTGGGAGACTGGCCGGTTCCTCACTCAGGGCTCTGGACTGGAAAGGTGGCAGGAAAAGGAAGGAGCTACAAATGTGAAGAATTGGAGGAAGTGCTTGTTTAAGCCCCTGAGCATCCCCAAGGAAGGGTGGAAAGGACTGGGCCTTCACACACAGTGCTGTGCAGCAACTGGAGCTTTGCAAACCACACACACAAACACACACACACACCAGCATCCCACTGGCACCCCACTACCTGAACAGCTCTGCTTGGGCACCAGCACTGGAGTACTGCACAGACACAACCCCGCTCAGGTAAGGCCTCCTGCATCAAGGCCCTTATGTTCCACTCTGTGATTCTCCTCCCCACAAACTCTCCTAACCACAACCCCCAGTGCTGCTCCTAACTCACAGTGACTTATGACTAGGACACCTTGATCCCATCCTGGGAAGGCCAGGAGGGCAGCAATGGGGGAGCACAGCTCTTGCTGGGGAAGGGCTGGGGAGGGTGACAAAGTGGCTGCCCCAGTGAGGCAGGGGTTTCCAGAAGACTGGGTCTGCCAAGTACTAACTTTTTTCGGAGTGTTCCTGAGCATTAGACTGTGACCACGGTTGCCATGGCAATGCTGTTTGTGTTTGCATCCCCATAGCATAGTTTGGAGAAAAGCAGTAAGCAGCATACACATGCAAACACAGGTGACTGGTGACCCTTCCCCCCAGGCACATGCCTCCCAGGGCACAGAGCAGGCACCAACCCCAGCCTGGAGGCAGCTCTGCTACCTAGGAGGAACCCACCCATCAGGGCACAAAGAGGAGACACCCTCTCTGCAACATGCCCCACTCCACTTTGCTGGACACAAATGCACACACATGGAAATGGAAGGGAGACAAATATGCACAAAACATCCCTTCCCCACTTGCATCCTCACTCTCAGCTCCTAAACTAAAGGAAGGGCTTTTCCAACAGGCCAGTCCAGACCAGCTCACCTGAGTCCTGCCCACCCTGCAACCAGACCCATACTGGCTGCAAGAAGAGTGGAAGAGAGCTGCTCCTAGAGACTGGGCCCCAAAGCCTGACTCAGGCTGCCTAGGGTGAGAAACTGCCATTGTGTTGACCTGAAACCAGCCCGGCTTGTCCCCTCCCTGAGCATTCCTGAGAGTGTGCCAGAGGCTCCGGAAGAGTGGCACCAGGAATAGCTCCCATTACGCAACCCCCCACGAGCTCTCAGCCTGCTGCTCTCCAAGGCAAGGGAGCAGGATCGAATGTGCCTGCACCCCTGCGCGGCACCTACACGGCACCACGCAGCTTGCCTCCCACTAAGACACCTGCCTGAGAGGCTAGCCCAGTCTCCCCTCCTCCCCTGGACTTAGTGCTCTCCCAAGACGAGACCTAGTCCATTGCAGAGTTCCTCAGAAGCACTGGATGAAGAATGCCCAGTGATCCGCTGGACAAGGCCCCTAAAAACTGGGTTTCCCCCCACAGATTATGGTGAGAGGATAGCTTAATACCACATCCTCACACCATTTCTGCACATGTACAGCCTTATAACACATCTCCAGTTCCACATTCGACAAAGCTGCCAAGTGCTCTGCCCCTCCATGGCCCTACACCAGTGGTCACCAACCAGTGGATCTCGATCCACCGATAGATCTCGGAGCTTCTTGGAGTTGATCTGAGGTTGAGGTGCAGGGGCTGAGTGCCCGCATGCGTGCACACACGCACCCCAGTCCAGCAGGTCAGTCTGTGGGGGAGGGAAGGGGCAGGGGCTTAGATGGAGGCCCCTGCAGTGAGGGACAGTGCTGCAGAGGCAGGAGCAGGGGTAAGCTGA